AGAGGCATTTAAAAAGGCCAAGGACTCACTCTCATCTTCAAATGTATTTGTTCATTCTGACCCAAGCCTTCCTGTTATTCTTGAGAGCGATGCAAGCCAGTAAGGCATCGGGCAGTCATATTTCAGCGCTTCCCTAATGGTCATGAGCGACCTATCGCATATGCCTCCAGATCCTTGAACTCGTCTGAGAAAAACTACAGTCAGATTGAGAAGGAAGGTTTTGCCATTATTTTTGGGGTCACCAAATTTTACATGTATCTTCTTCGGACGCAAGTTCACTCTGCGAACCGATCACAAAACCCTGATGAAAATATTTGATCCGGATTCTGCGACTCCAGTTTTGGCTGCTGCTAGACTGCGATGCTGCTCCCTTCTTCTCTCTTCGTACCACTACGAAATTGAGTTCAAGTCATCTGCTGAAGTAGCTAGCGCTGACGCCTTCTCAAGGCTCTCACTTCAGTGCAGAAAAGATGCAAGTGTGTTAGGGTTAGATCTTCCATGAGGCCTCTCAGCAGTTAAAACGACGCCCAGTTTCTGCCGCAGAAATTGCCAAGGACACATCTAGGAACCCTTTGTTAGCGAAAGGACTATTGCTTACGCAGAATGGTTGGCCTATTAATCACTGCGCCGATCCTGACCTCAAGCCATACTTCACCCGCAGACACGAACTCCCTGTGGAGCAAGGCTACCTTATGTGGGGTGTGACCACATTGAGACAACAATTCAAACGCGGTGAATTCTAACACTGAAAAACGGCTGTTGCTTTACTGACAAGTAGATAAGGTTGACGTAAAACTAGAAAGGAAAATACAATTGAAAGATCTTAATTACATGCGACGAGAAATGTACTAAATAAACAAATACGAATACAAACTTAACTAGAAAATTACAACAGGCGAAATAATAAACCAAATAAAAGAGGAAACGAAAGAAAGACTAAAACCTTGTGAGCCTATTATAAATTTGTCAAAAGAAAAACCAAAATCCATCGCTGAACTAGCGAGCGAAGTAATCTCTGACCGCCGAGCTAACGATCATGCAACTTAAAAAATAATGGCTTGGTCACCTGACCCCAAAAGGGCGCGAAAATTACACTACCGCGCGGTCCTCGGCTGGCTAGCAGCCATATGGGGCCTGCGAACAGTCATACCTCCTTCTTTAAGACAATCTGTCCTGACAGAATTACATAAGGGGCCATCCTGGAATTGCACGTATGAAATCAATAGCCCGCAGTCATGTTTGGTGGCCGAAAATAGATCAGGAGATTACCCGTGAATGTCAACCGTGCAACAAAACACGCAGGGCTCCTCCGGCCTCACCGCTTCTTCCATGGTCTTGGCCGACAGCTTCACGGCAACGTGTTCATGTAGATTTTGCCACCAATCAGGCAAAAAATTACCTCATCATGGCTGAGGCCTAATCTATAAGTGACCTGAAGTGATTGTTCCCATGAAAACAACAACAGCCAACTCAACCATTAATGCCATGCGTAATATTTTTGCAAGATACGGTCTACCAACCCAAGTAGTCAGCGACAATAGCCCACCCTTACAGTCTGCAGAGTATGAAGAGCTCCTGGGCCAAAATGGCATTCAGAGAATTATAGTTTCCCCTTACCAACCCTCTTCAAATAGGTTGGCTGAGAGGTTTGTGTAGAATAATCTGTTCATGTTGTCCTTCAGCAGCATAATTAAAAAAAGCTTTCGCCGATCAACGGGATCATCAGGGATGAGAAAATATTCTGCGCGCGCTATATATGCAAAGAAAGTGTAGGGTGAAATGTGTAAAAGATGTGATGTATGTATGAAAGCTATAGAAATAAACAGTGAATCGAATACAAAGCTCTAATGATGGAGTGTCTCTAGAGAAAGGACCTCTAAAAGCGCTTAAGAATGGTCTCTAAAATAAAATACTAAAATAGAAGTTGTGCGAATTCAGTACATTCTTCTCGGGAATTGAAAGTAGGCTTGCACTTTCTAATGTTTGTGCAGACTTTCAAGTACGCCATGGAGTCATCAGCTGACGATCCCGCAAGCTCTATACAGCGACGGATTCAGAATTTTCTCCTATCTTACAGAAGCATACCACACGCTACTACCGGCTCATCTCCCGCCAAGCTACTATTACAGCGAGAACTTCGCACTCGATGGTGTCTGGTTACACCTGGCATTTAAATTGAAAACAGCTCGACCACCCCTCAAAGTTGGCCATGTCTCATTTAGGAAGCTGCGATCAATTGACAGGGATGCATTTATGGATAAAATCCGTAATAGCGAACTTTTCCAAATGGATACTGATGATCCTGATGAGCTTGCTGCCGTATTTATCAATACATTTCGTTCCCTGCTGGATCGTCATGCTCCTGTTAAGCATAAGAATACTACTAGTCGACCATGTGTTCCATGGAAGAACGACGAATTTAAATTGGCTAAACGGCAAAGGAGGTAAGCTGAAAGGAAATGGAGAGCTTCTAAAGCACACATCGATTTACTGTCTTATCGTAGTATGAGAAATCGTATGACGTTTCTGAGTAACAAGGCTCGTAGTGACTATTATACAAACTCCATAACTGAGAACAGTACAGACCAGAGGAGGTTATTTAGAGAAAGCAATTCCTTGCTAAATTTATCGAAAGGTTCTGGCCTTCCATTATCTACCACTGATTATCAGTTGGCTAATGATTTTGGAAAATTCTTTGCCCAAAAAATTGCTGAAATCAGGTGTGATGTCAGGTCTGTTAATACAAACCAGATCTACTTTCCTATCAACGCAACTAGTACTGTGACTGCTTCCTATTTTTAAGAATTTAATCTGTTGTCCCAATCGGAGGTGTTTGATCTAATCACAGCTTCGTCCAAGAAGTCTTGTCCTCTTGATCCTATTCCAACCAACTTCTTAATGAGTGCGTCAATGTGCTACTGCCTCCGATCACCAAAATAATTAATCTTTCGCTTGATTCTGGTTCTTTCCGCGTACCTGGAAGTGTACTCTGGTGCGGCCGCTGCTGAAAAAGGATGGATGACCCCTGTCTTTAAGAACTTCAGACCAGTGAGTAATTTGGCATTTAGGGACGGACCTTTAGAAAACTTGTGGGGGGGGGGGGGGGGGGGA